TTTTTTATTTTTAGTTTTTAAGTATATTCTTAATATGAGAATGAATTATTATTTCTAATTTTGAACAGTTAAAATGTTGAATTAAACGATGTAAAATTTTTTTTTTACAATATTTGTTTGTTTTTTAACAATTATACTTATTTTAAAATTGGCGTCGTCGATTCGACGAAGCATAACCTGAACGTAGGAAAAATAAGCATGACCGTCTAGGGTTAAATATTAATTTCCGACTTTACAGAAGCTATCCAATCGATTTTAAATGAAGCATTATGATTTTAAAATAAATTAATTTAATATTTATTTTTTATACAGATCTAATGTGGAAAATGTATGTAATACTGTTCGATCATTTATGTATTATTCGATCACAATTGTAAAAAAGTGGTTCGGTATAACTCCAGATCGGGTAAGCCGAATTTGAAGATGTTTGATTATACAAATTAAACCAAATTCACATATTAATTAATTAATTGATCAAAACGAAAGGATGTTCGTAAATTGACTTTATTTTTTGGTATTGTGAAGAGCATTAAAGATGGTTGTTGCCTTATTGACAACGTTAAATAGCCGTTATTTGCTTCTAACAAATTGTTTAAGTAGTTGAAAACAAAATTCAGCTGGGACGAAAGTGAGAAAATACAAACTTTCATTTTTTTTATACTGATTCTACTTTAATTGTTTTTTTTTTTTAGCGAAAGAGATACATTTTCATACTATTTCCAGCTCGAAAATAATAATTAGTTTTGAATACATTTTTCAATTATTAGTGTACATGACAGCTTTAAGATATGGTAGTCCGATGGGAACTTTCTACCTGCAATTGAACTAAATCTGTTTTGAAGGTTTTATTCAGATATGTAGCTCTAAATCTTATATAGACATACGGTCTTAATTAAATATACTCGGCTGTCAATGCCAATACATATATTATTATGTATTACCTTAAATACTTTATATGGGAAACTCTCTGAGAAAAAATGGGATTAAGACTTTAGTTTAATTTTACAACATTTTAAACTTATGTCTCTTGGTTAAGGAAAGCAAAAGTCGCTTTAGAAGTTGCTATCAAAACAAAAGATTAACTTTTTTATAATGTTTTTTACTAAAATAATACAAAATCACGTTTTCTTGAATTTTCATTTGAATATTGCTAAATTCTGTCAATGTTGAATACTTCTTAATATGACTTTATTGATTTGTCCGCGGTTGCTGTTTCTGGACAGTTACTCTTATGTTATATGGTCGGAAATATGACATATTGATCAATTTCTTAATCTTAATTGACTACTATGCCATTTTCATGACGTAATTACGATTTAATGCTGTTGAGAACTTCATGGCCTGTACCAACAACTATAAATTTACTATTAAGTAAGGTATTTGTATCCTCTGTTTCCGCGGATCTTTGAATTCAACTTGTGACCCTATGCCTTTCATTTGCGCTTTATGATCGCTCGTCGTCTCTCTTTGGGCGTTCTGAACCTTTCTCGTGGCTTAAATAAGTTCCAAACACCACATACAGCGTGTATTCAATAAAATGATTTGTGAGATACATAAAAAATACGCATACCAAAATGGCGTTCGGTATTTATGCACCAGCACATTGCAGCTGGTCCGCTCAAGGACCACTCTCCAATCCGGTCCTCCTGTGACCCTCTGGGAACGCCGGAATATATAGGGGGGCATAGGATAGGGAGTCGCACCGACATTTTCCAACACTTTAGCGCAAACAATTTATGACTGCTTTTTTCAGCTGCAGGTATGCGCTTTCCGGCCAAGCACTTAATTGATGTTGTGTCGCGTAAATTATAAACAAAACAAAAATTAAAGTGGACTCCATGGTGCTTCTTGGCGTTAGCTTCGCCGTTGGCGCTTCGGAAGATGCGGTGCCGGATGCGGAAATGCTTTCATTGCAAGTGGTGGTGAAGGGTCTCCCATAAAAAGCCAACGCACCAGCTCCGGACAGCGCAGGAGGGACACACACGCTGCCCGATTGCCCGCCCCCGCCAGCGGACGTCCTGGGCCATCGCTTCGCATCCCTTCCTGAACAAGAGGCTAAGCTGGCCGCCGTGAGTGAGGTCAAGCACGAAAGTGGTGCTACCTCCAACCGGATGTCCATCTGACTTCTATAAGCCCCCTCGCGCTCCTTCGCTCTTTTTGCCTAGCAGCACCCACCATGTTTTTTCCGCATAAATTTTCACCATTTGGCGTTGCGAGGAGCCCTCGAGTGTGGTAGTAGGAAGCTGCTTTGTGATCGCGTGAAGTTCACATGTGTGTCAACACTGTCTAATACAGATACTACAAAATATTAAACTATATATGTATATATTTACTTGATCAATATTAACAGACGAATCGATCTAGGCGACTGCATCTGTCCGTCAGCCTGCCAGAAGTCCTTCTGTTTTAGAGATATCTGATTGAAACTTTTTAGATTGTCTTCTTTCTATTGCAGGTGGTATATAATTCGGAACAAACGCTAAGTATAATTGTTTGCTAAATTTAAATTAAGAATTTATTTTATGTATAACAAATATTTGCCACATTAAAAGCAATTTGTTCTGTTTGTTTGTTTGAAAAATTAACGAAATCGTGATCCGATTTTGTCGTAATTTTCTATACTCTGTGAATAAAGAGTAAATATTTAAAGTTTCCAATATTTGATGGAAGTATCTTTTCATATAAAATCACTGCAGTTTCGTGAAATAACTATTAAATTAAGCAAACTATTAATAAAAAAGGAGGAGGTCTGTTTTCGACATGAATACTTAAAATATAATAAATTAGCAATTTTATTTAGTAAGCAAAAAGCTTGTTTAACAGTTCTATACAGTTAAGCTTATATTAAAAATTATTCTTAATATCATTAAGCGGTCCATTTCAAAACTGATTATATAATATTTTACTTATTTAAAACTTCAATTTGGTGAGAGTATTGATTGACAAGGTGACCACACCTTAGTATGCAGTCACATCTATGTACATATGAACGTTGATACTTTTTATACAGAATTGTGCCAAAATAAATTAGATTCCGGGTTTTATTTTTTGTTGTTTAATCTATCGCCATAACTGCAATATTTGCTAGCTGCCTTCTTGCCTGATAGAGTTCCCTAATTAATAAATTGATATTACCCACAAGTGCTGCTTTCGATTCGTTTAACTTGAAACCGACTCATATGTACATATACCTTCCTAGATCTGAAAAAACGATTAAATTTAACTGGGCGATGAGTTAAACTCGGAAATCAGAAATTATATGCAGTGCAGAGGACGACTGCCAGTGGAGGACAGACATAAAACAATGGCAAGGAAGCGGGGCAGAAGGTGGCAGGCGAAGAGTGCGGTAAATGCCAGTGGAACTGGAGCTGGATCCGGGTAAGGGCATTTAACTGCTGGCTGCGACTACTCAAAATCTGTGCGTCTGCACGCATTACACACGAAATACGAGACTCGTTGGGCAATTGCAGTTCATTGTTATTTAATATGTCGCCCAGTCAGTGGCTGGACGGGAGGAAGAAGCATCGGGGCCGGAACGACACGAGAACACGGGTGGGAAATTATACTTTATGTGGCCAGGACACTGAATTGCAGGATACGGAGCCAAACAGAAGCAGACGGCATGACACTGATTGCGATATAAACGATTGTCAACGTATCCAAGTGGATTATTACCTCATGCCAATTATCATATCAACGATACACAGGCGCAGGACTCGGAAAATGGCCATATACTCACACTGGCGCACACTCGAAATCGCAGGACAAGCCAGTACATGCCAGGACATGCCACATTGGCTGACGAGTGGCGGGCGGCAGGGGGTCAAGGTAATGAACCAAGCCCGGCACCCAGCGCCCACACACTTGACGAGGCGTTGATGGTGTCGGCATCTGTAGTTCGTCTCCCCGCCACTCCCACTGCTCTGGCCCAGCCTCCCTTCGGTCCTTGCCAAATTGCATGTACAATTTTAAATGGATTTTGATTGTTTATGACAATTCGACGAGCTGACTGGCCAGTCCGCTGTTGGCCACTGATAATACGGCATTTAAGTGATGATGGGCCGCTCCCACCTGGCCACTGCCCAAGCCACAGCTTGAAGCGAAACCAATGCAATTTGCAAAATTAAGCCCAAGCATTTTCACACAGGATTTAAGCATTGCATTTATAAATAAGGTTCTCAAATTGGTAGCATAAATACATATAGCGTCCTTACAACCGTGCAAATAATGTAGATATTTTGTAATCGGTTTTCTATGAATTGAACTTGTATGCGCCATGGAACGCTTTCTAAATTCTTTCTCTTTCTTTAGAATTTTAATATTTTTACTACTTTCTTACTATATAACAAGCTAGAAATAACAGTAAGGTTTCAAACAAGAATATCCCTAGTAGTCTCAATAGATTCAATCGAGAAAAAATCCGCAAAAAAGTAAGAAAACTGAGTTATTAGAGCTACTTATAAATAACTCGGGGTGAAATCGGTTAAATTGTTCTAAAAAAAATCTTTTTGCTGTTAATAATTATAATTTTAAATTTGATTAAATGGCCATTACTGTGCTAAACTTAGAAAAAATAAATGCCTTTTCAGTCATTGGGTGCGTAAAGCAGAGCAACTTGATCACTGATCACTGATGGATTTCTAACGATAGTTATGCTGAACGCGGATTTCTAACGATAGTTATGCTGAACGCGGATAATCACTGATCATGAGGCAAGATCCATTAAAAATGGAACGTAAGATAAGTACCTTTTCGCGAAACATAATTAAAAGTACGTAATTTGCTTGGAAATATAAATTATTTGTTATGAATTCTGTGGAATTCTTCTTAAATTACTTATTATTAATTATTTATTGATTTATTTTTGATTTATGATTTTATGTCTCGAGTGGTTCTTGCGGCACGCAAACTTGTCCATTTCAGATGTGTGATGTAAAATATCGTATGGGAACAGCTTTTTTCTGCTGCCGATATTTTCAGTCATTTAGTCGTGTAGGGAATCCCCTATTTGTGTTTGTACTCAAATTCAATAGTCAGATTTGATAATAATAAAAATATCCGTAATCATATAGGAACTATCCAACTAAAGTTTATCATGCTCAATTATGGCACATGGATGCGTAGAGTTTATATATGGATGGGAAACTGCGGGAAGGAGCAATGTTTTCTGAGGCCGCGGGAAAGGGTCGGCACCAAGATATTCCAGCAAAGAATGCAAAAATCTACCGATAACCCGAGACCCAACATTTTCTTGAGATCCAAAAGATTCTACGGATATAGCATTGTGATTGGGAGCCTTTTCGGCGCCGTCATGTGGGCTGTGTATGAGCTTGGAAAGCCCGTGGTGGACCATCGTGGTCCCGTCGATGATGAGTACAGTGAGCTGCCTTGGTTTCGTCAGTACTTCATGCGGATGTGGCACTCGGTGCAGTACTACCAGAAAATGATGGAAGCACCCGTGATAACGAAGTTGCTGCCGGATATCCTGCCTCCTCCCTATATACAGCCTCCGTATACGTTGGTGCTGGAGATAACGGATGTACTGGTTCACCCGGACTGGACATATAAGACTGGTTGGCGGTTTAAGAAGCGTCCGGGCGTTGACTACTTCCTCCAGCAGTGCAGCAAGAACTTTGAGATTGTAATTTACACTTCAGAGCAGGGCATGACCGCCTTCCCCCTTATAGATGCCCTGGATCCTTACGGTTACACCACGTACCGATTGGTCCGAGGGGCCACGAAATTTGTGGAGCGGCAGCATATTAAGGACCTAGACTACCTTAATCGGGACCTGAGTCGAGTCATTGTGGTGGACTGCGGTCGGAAGGCGACGCCCCTGCATCCGGACAACGCTTTTGTGATGACCAAATGGCAGGGCAACGATGACGATGTGCAACTCTTCGATCTGACGGCTTTCCTCCAACTTGTGGCAGAGCACCAGGTGCCCGACGTACGAGAAGTTCTCCATTATTACAGTCAGTTTGAGGATCCCATTGAGCAGTTCAAGGAAAATCAGCGACGACTGCAGGAACAAAATCAGGAGAACATTCAGATGATCCCTAGCAATCAACGAAAGTGGTCATTCGCTCTGATGGGACGCTCGTGGCGGGGCTCTTAGAGACGGGAATTCTATATCACTCCGTTCAACATATATAATTTATATCAATGTAACCGGAATGTGAGACTCTAACTGAAAACATATGTAATCTGATCAGGGATCCTTTTTTAAATTAAAATTTTTATTCAAGTCATAATTTAACCTTATTTACTCTCTCACTTTTTATAAATATTATCCACACCAGAATTCGGCATTAAATCTAGTTTAAGTCATAGTCCTCTCCCTCCTACCGCTAGCAATGATAGACAGATAGCGAGTGTGCTTCTGCACACTTCTGATGGAACAGTCACTGTAGCTGCTATATATCTTCCACCAGCAGAAAGTTGGACGCAATCTAGCTTTATATCCATGTTCGCCACCTTGGGTAATAAATTTATTGCTGGTGGCGATTTTAATGCCAAACATGCATGGTGGGGCAACTCAAGAGCCTGTACTAGAGGTAAACGCTTGCAAGAAGTCATCGCAAATGGGCATTACCAGGTTCTGGCTACGGGCGAACCTACGTTCTACTCCTACAATTCCCTATTAATTCCATCAGCGCTTAACTTTTTCGTTACCAATGAATTTGCTTCAGGCAGACTTCACGTACGTACTCTACATGAACTCTCGTCGGATCATGTACCTATCTTGGCTGAACTGTACTCCACGCCGTTGTGGAAACCTCATCGCCCACGACTACTTGCCCATAATGCTAACATAAACATTTTTAAATCCCATCTTGAACAGCTAAGCGATGTAAATTTAGAAATTCTGGAGGAGGTGGATATTGATAATGCAATCAGTCTTTTTATGACGAAATTATCTGAGGCTGCTCAGCGTGCTGCCCCCAGAAATCGACATGGAGTAGTGGGCCCTAGACCTCCCCAACTCCCTCCCAGAATTTTAGCGCTGCTTAGACTTAAACGAAGAGTTCGTAGTGAATATGCTAGAACAGGAGATCCTCGTATACAACAGATCCACAGAAGACTTGCCAATCGCTTGCATAAAGTTCTTGCTCGTAGAAAACAGACTCAAATAGACAACTTTTTGGAAGACCTGGGTCCTGATATGAGTGCAAATTACTCGCTTTGGCGTGTCACGAAACGATTCAAAACGCAGTCCTCCCCAAAGTCAGCAATCAGAAATCAGGCTGGGGGCTGGTGTCGCACTAGCTTAGAAAAAGCTGAAGTGTTTGCTGATAACCTTGAGCAGCGTTTTAAGCCCTTTGATTATGCCCCTGATAATTTGTGTCTTCAAGTGGAAGAGTATTTGGAGTCGCCGTTTCAAATGTGCCTTCCTACTAGCGCTGTCTCTTTGGAAGAATTCAAAGTTCTGGTAGCCAAGTTGTCTCCCAAAAAAACCCCCGGTGAGGATCTTCTTGACAATAGAACCATTCGTTTATTACCTGATGAAGCCCTGAAATTCCTTGTGTCTGTTTTCAACGGCGTTTTAGAAGTTGGATACTTTCCGAAAGTTTGGAAATCGGCCAGCATAATCATGGTTCTCAAGCCTGGAAAACCGCCATCGGATACAGGCCTATCAGCCTTCTCCCATCTCTGGGTAAAATTATGGAGAGGCTGGTTCTAAACAGGCTGCTCTCTTGCGAAGAAGTCTCTAGTGCGATCCCAAAATTTCAATTTGGTTTCCGCCTGCAGCACGGTACTCCTGAGCAACTGCATAGAGTGGTTAACTTTGCCTTAGAAGCCTTGGAGAAGAAGGAGTATGCTGTAGCTGCCTTCCTAGATATTCAACAGGCATTTGACAGAGTCTGGCACCCTGGGCTGCTGTTCAAAGCGAAGCGACTCTTCCCGCCTCAACTATACATGATTGTGAAAAGTTTTTTGCATGATCGCACATTCCATGTATCGGCTGATGGGTATAAGTCAAGAGTATAGACAATTGAAGCTGGAGTTCCGCAAGGAAGTGTTCTAGGTCCTACTCTGTATTCGGTATACATTACATGTTACAATGTGGTGTTCCTACTAAATTTAAAAGGAAAATGGAGGCCTCATTTACATTAAATGTGTAAGCTTAAGCCTAGTACTCTGACGAGAAAAATCCGCTGTATAAATTTAGACAGCGGCCAAACTCCATATAAAAAAAGCGGTGTCGAAAAAAGAAGAAGAAGAACTTGTAGCCACGTCGTTTTCGGTACTCTGACGACGAAAATGAAGCCTGCGAAAATTGAATGGCGTTGCCAGATCAAGATAGTAAACAGCTGATATCGCGCTGTCTAAATAATTCATTTGATTTATTTAGACACCCCTAATGGAGGGAAAGTTGAAGGAAAAAGGTGGCATTGATAGGGGCTGTCAAGGGGAAGTCCATAATATGAAATTTAACCCACAAAAGACATTTTAATGCCATATTTATTAATATTTTTTTTGAATATTTGTTTACAAACAGCTGTCCAGTGTGACCAAAGAAAATCCTTAAACGCCATAAAAAGTAAATTTTCATGGCATTTCAGGATTTCCATTAATTTTTTTGGTCACACTAGCTCGGTAGCGAAATAAACAGCGATTCCGCTGCCTAATTTAGACAGCGGGTTTTTCCCGTCAGAGTACTAGGCTTTAACTTAAGGGGGTCTTCTCATTGGGCAACTTTTTTTTTCGATTTTTTTTTTTTTTTTTTTGCATTTATTTATATCTTGGTGTGTATATGTCCCCAAAAGGATTTTTAGAAATTCGAAATACTTTAGAAGATACAGCCTTTTTTGTGAAGCAAGATCTATGCAAAATGAGCTTTTTTCAAACTTCAAACGCGTTTATCTCGAAACCACGTTTTTCGAACTGGCGGCCATGATATCTCCAGTTCAACTAAACCGATTTTCATGAAACAAAGTGGAATGGACGCAGAATTGTCACCATTTTCGGCTGACGGAACAGATTTTTTTAAATTTTTTTTTCTTTTTTTTTTTTTACACTAAACTACAAAAAAAACGCCCGACATCGAATTTTTTTTTTTTTGAATGGCCGCCATTTTGTTTTAAAAATTTAAAAAAAAATCTGTTCCGTCAGCCGAAAATGACATCTATTCTGATTATAACCCCGTTTTTATTTTTCATTTCGGACGCTCTGGAGACCCTGAATCGTGGCCGCCAGGACGACACCTTTTTTTTCGACCACCAAGTTTGAAGTCTCATTACTCTTTGAACAACCCTCGTATCGAGGCAAAAACAACTTTTTTAGTTACTTTGAACATTTTTAAATACAATAAATAAAAAAAGTTATCAATTATTCTTTGCGTTTTCAAATAAGAATTTTTTTAAAAAGGGTCCAAAAAACGGCTTTTGAATGAGAAGACCCCCTTAAAAAGAAAAATTCAACCTACACAAACTTTATTGTCTAATAACTAAAGTATTTTTTGGCCGATTATTTATATATCTTAAAAAAGCTAATTTGTTGTAAGTTTGAAGAAACTAAGAAATTTTAAAAGGTCTAGTTAAAATAAGAATAATATAAGGTATATAAATTTTATAAATTAATAAGAAGAAACAAGAATTACAAAATCATGTGGGCAATCAATCTTCCAATCTTTTATAGGTAACATATTGTAAAAGAGCATTAAAAACGGCCGCCATTCGCGGCGTATTTATATGAATTTCTGAAATATTCACGCATAAATAAATGCGGAAACCTTTAAATTTATGTTTTTAACCTATAATGCCTACAATTGTTTTAATTATTAATTATATATATATTCACGAATATATAAAATTGAAAATAATCAAACGCTTTGATATTATCTCCTTCCACATCGCAAGTCCTGTCATCGTATTAACAGGTTTTCGCAAGTGGTTTTTCCCCGATTCAATTGTACACAATCCACCAGAGCTGTGGGCAGGTGGGAAAAACCACTTTCTTTTCGAGGTCTCTGGGGCGTCGCATGCAAATCTACTTTATGTCGTGGGGCTGGGGAGGAGTAGAAAGTTATGCAAGCAGTCGGGATAGCGTGTGCCCGGCGCTTAAATCGCCGCTGAAAACCGCATACGTTACGGGAATTGCCGGGGAAGCTGGCCGAAGATTTCCGGGGAGGAGCACATGCGAATTAAATTTTTAACAAGCAAGGGTCTCGGCGCCTTCTTTACATTCAGTCTTGACATTCTGCGACGGGCGGGTCTGATGGAATCGCGGGTCGACCTCCGGCTTACCTCGGTTGTTGAAAAACTAATTTTGATTTTAATTAAATATTTATGACGCCGGGAGAGCGCCGCAGCGGCAGCATTTTATAGGGAAGCGAGGAAGTTCTCTAATAAAATAAGCAAATATCTGGCGAATAACTTCTGCTTATCAGTCAGATGGGCCGGCAGCGGTGAGAAAATTAGAGAATTATCCCCAGAGACTTGCAGACTCAGGTTGCGTGCCTAATTCGAGAACGGAACCCATTCCCGCCGCCCCTTCTCCCGGGTTTACTATGACCTTACCTATGGCCCTAACGGACGGGGGTTGGGAGTGCTTCTGGCCACCGGCTCGTTTATTCGATCAAAAGTTACGAGCTCATCTTAGATTGGACATTAAATGAACACTAAAATATTTTCCATCTGCACGCAGGGCCCGAAAGGCCGAAGCAGGGTTGGAACAAGCGAAATAAATGTCATGAAGGAACTCATTGACAGGCACATAAGGACACTGGTTTTATGGTCCACAGATATGACCAAAATATATGATTACCATGTGTCCGGCAGCAGGCAAGCTCGTAAATAGGCATTTTCTCTGCTGTAGTTTTCATGGACACATCATCTCCCCATCTCCCTGCCCGACAACCCGGGCGGGACCAGGACATCTCCGCTGGCGACTATTTTCTTTTCCAGCCGTGCTCTTTTATTTGTCCCCCCATCCATGTCTTTTGAACCTTCTTTCGCTGGTTATTTAGCAAGTGATCCAGGTGGGACTGCCAAAGATAGTCACAGCCCGTGGCTCAGTCGTAAAAATCAAAATAAAATTAAACTTATGCGTGATGTTTGGGTCTCTCTCATTGGATTTCTCCTGGCCGTTTTCCATGGTGTGGAGAACACAACACCAATGATAAGTTTTGCATTTAAATGGAATTTAGCAGGTTGACTGCAATTGGGTTTATATCCTCGTTTAGCATATTATAATATCAATAAAAATGTATCAACGTTGTGGGTAGTATTATATCCGCCATATATCTTCTGACATCTTATAACGCTTATAAAGGTTTTACTATAAGTAAATATTAATGACCAAACACACATTTATGCTTAAAAATAATATTATCTAAAGTCACCACCAATTAGGAAAATATTAACATCACAGGAATAGCACTGAAAGGTAAATAAGGTCAAAAATGTAAATTAATTGTAATTATTTAGCTGCAAACAGTACTTTACTATTTAAAGTGCCTAATTTTTTGTTATTGATTTTTAGTTGGATGCACCAAACATAAAGTTATTCAGATACTCAAAGGTAATGATGCAAGCAAATAAATCTATTGGCAACTATCTTAAAAATGTTCTGGCATCGCTAGAAGATGCCTCCAGGAGGAACCCAGGCTAACCCTTGCCTTTGCGAAAAACACCTTGATCTTCAAGGATCTCGAAACCCGCATAAATAGTCTGTAGGTCCATCCAGGAATTTCCCCGGATAACTAAGGGCGTGGCCCCATGAGGGCCGTCCGGATAAACCTAACCCATCTTAAAAATGTAAATTAGGAAAATATGCTTCGGGCGTAGCATCCTATTGAGAGACGGATTTACCGAGTATCTCACAGTAAAGTTCACTAGCTTTCTTAATGGTTCTTTATTCGTATTGGGGAAAATAACCAAAACCTACGCATAATCTGATATCCCCGTGTAATCTTCAAGTATAGGGTAAATACTGTGCTCTATTTTTCGATTTATGGAAACCAGATTGAGTCTGACATTTGCTTGCAAATTAGGCAATGAAATCGTTGCAATGCCGGACAACGGTTACTCTATCGCGTGTCAAGGATCTACTAAATAGCTCCGATGGCTTCAACTTCACCAGGACATGATGGCCCGATGGCCAGTGGGAGCTGTGAATTATGCCCCCAGCTGGTCCCGAGCCTCTTCATTTTGGTATAAATTCAACATTTATGTAGTCGCAGCCCTGAGTGTATGCTGATTTCATCTCATCTCGTTCGGGCGTTACGTGAGCTGATTACGTTAGTCACGCGCGATTGCAAAGGGGCGGAATGTGTCGGTGGGAGAGTGTTTTGGCCGTAATGAACGGTGCTGACAGGCTAGCTGATGCCAAACAGAATGGCTATTTTTTATAAAATGGCTAGAAAAAGAATTCCATTTTTTATTGTTTCTTTTTGATAAAAGAGGAGAATATTGGACAATATTCTTTTTAATACCAATTTTATTAGAATAGCTACTTTGGCATATGTAGGATTTTTAACTTCGATATTCGCAACGAATCGAAGACATATGTCAGTCCAATATTTTTGTATTGCTTCTATTCTTTGGGTTATATAAAATTAGTTTTTCGGGATCAATTGAAATATATTAACATTTCAAGTCGCAAGTATTTCTTACACTGAGTTACTTTTTCTTTAGCTTGTAGAAACCATAAAAACTTGAACTTTGTAACTGAGTGTTTAAAATCTTCAACAGTTTTCTAAGGATCTTATACAATCATATTTATATTTGGAAAACTATAACCGTAAAAACGACCTTTCTTATTAGTTTTTCCCGCCAAAACCTGTGCTTGGATATGAATACCCCGCAGCACTGGTCACAAGGACGGCGGCTCCTTCATCGACTATTGACTCCGGCTCATTTCGGTCCGGATTCAGTTGCTTAGCAGCCAAGTGAAACTGTGGCAAGTGGCGACTTCTTGCCGGATTTTATGACTCTGGCGAGGATGACGGGCAGTGGATGGCAGCAGAGTTGGGTCTGTGAGTTCCACTATATGATTTTGCATTATTTGTCCATTCGCTGCCTCTGTGGTTTCTTGCCCCGTTTTCGTCCGCTGGCTGCCATAAAAAGTCAATGCATGCGAAATTTTTCGTGACACGCTCAAACTAGTCCCAGAAAATTCAGGACCATTGCCAGTTGGTTATTTGTTTATTCATCGAATGGGGCGAATCGTAAAAATTATGTTGATGACTCATCAGTAAAGGGCATTTATTTTATTGCCGGTCGTCCTTTGTCACCTTTGTGGCTGCGAGCACATCTTCAATTATGACCCCAGTTGATTCCAATTCCACTTGATGCCAAGACTTTGAATGAGTTTCGATTTGTATTATTAATGATTTTGTAGCCATTTCAAAGGATGCAGCAAGCACTATTCGATTGACCATCTAGTGCAAGTTGTGAGATATCTTGGCTTGCAGATAGGTAGCAAAATTTAACCGTTAGAGAAAAAATGAAAAAGTATAGATCTACCAAATTTAAAAATTTAGTTTTATGTTGGAAATTTAATTAAGGAATAGAAAAATCTGCCATTATAAAAGTATATCCTTACCGCTGACTGGATAAGGAGTGTTTTTTAATGGTATGCTCCGACACACATCATATGGCAAGAGGCAAGGATAGGTGTCTTAAGATGGACATTTCAAAATGCCTCAAAATTTGTAATTATTTATTATTTATTGTTTTCCTTTGAAGCTTTTTATAGCTTTTTATAGTCCCCAAACATCAGATATAAAAAAATATTTAGAAATTTCTTTAGGTTCTTTCTTTAATTTATCATTCAATATCCACATAAATAAAAGTAAAGAAAGAGATATTTGTAATGCTGATATTAAATACACATGCGTGTTGATAAATCTATCAACATACTATTTTTCTGAATTTCCCTTTCGACTTTTTAGACAATACGCCTATTTTTGAGTAATAAAATCTTCTGGAAATCCTACCATTTTATATAAATTTAAGTTGCTTAAGGAAATGAACTATATTCTATAGATTTAAGAAAATAATAGTCCCTCTTTTTGTAGTTTTTATTATCGTATAAAATTCATAATCACTTTGAATGGGTTCAGTAATCACGTTTTATCAAAGTGACTATTGATTCAAGAGCTGCCAAACTTGACATCCTTAAAAATCAAATTCAAGGGAACTGCAAATAAAATAAAATTATATCCAAACAAATATTTAACAGATATCAGAGTACATACCCATTGCTCTGGTGTCTATTGCCACTTTAAAATTGTGCAACTCGTACAGATCAAGTCCTGGGATTTCCTCCACCTCCTTGACTGTCTCAGAAGAAGGGACCGGAGCAACCTCTTCCCAATCCTCCGCTTCCACTTCCACTCGACAGCGGCTCACCACTGCACTCTTCTTGTATTTCCGGCGCATATACTGCTCCAGTTCGAATTCCGCCGAATTGGGTGCGGGATCCGGAAATGACCTTTTGGAGACTGGTGTCGTCAAGGGCACATGTCGGTGTATGGTGGGCGCAGGGGCACTGGGTGAACTGACGACCTGAGTCCGCTGCTCTTGGGTATTCTCGCCTTGGGCCCTGGGATTCTCGTCGATCTCCTGAATCTGCTTCTCTAGACCTTTGACTAGTTCCAAATCGTTCAATTCGATTGCCCTATCTCGCTCCATGAACAGACGGATCTTTCTGTAAGCGGCCCTCACTTGCATCTGCCCCGCCTGCATTTTAGTTTGGAGGAGCTGTTCTACCTCACCTTCGGTGAAGGAGTACTCGGATGCCCTTTCCACGTCTAACTGCTTCTTGGCGATGTCGGCAAGAAGGGGCAAGGTCTGCATGTCACGCTGATACACTGCAACCCACAGAGCGAACTCCTGATTGGTAATGCCCTGATTAGAGACCACGTCCATTAGGGAGTACTGTTCCTGGGCGCCGAATCTTAAACGCAGGACTTGTTTAGTCCGCTTTCTGCCCAGTTTATATTCCTCTTTTGCTTCCCGCAGACCCAAAATCTGGTAGATACGGTTCGAGCGGTCAGTCTGGACACTCACATTGATGCGCACGTAGCAGCCCACAATGGTCTGCTCGAAGTTGGGCCTATCCAGAAAGCTCTCCAGCTGATTCCGAGTTAAAATGGCTCGACTCAACTGCTCCCTAGTGGTCACTGGGACTTGGTCCTTGCTTGCCGGCTGAATCGGAGTGTTTTCCTCGCTGCTACTACTACTGCTGCTGGATGAATCGTCCGAGTATATGTCAGTGGCTTTCAATTTGACCTTCTTTATTTGCTGGGTCTGGGAGTCCTTTTTGCCTCCCGTCTTTACTGTGTCCTCCTCCGAGCCCTGGTCCTTGCCAAGCTTGCTGTTCCGCTCTGCCACCAATCGCTCGAATGCACTCGATCGCTTGTTGCCTGCTCTCTGGTGATCCAAGATCTGCCGCCTCGTCTGTGATCGCTCCTTGATCTCCGAATTCTCGGACACGCGGTCCTTATTGAGCTGCGACTGGATGTCAAACTTACGTTGGAGATCCTCGCGCCGCAGGGATCGCTGATACAACTCCTGCTCGCGCTCGAACTCGTTGAGGTGCAGCAATCGCGCACGATCTTCTGCATCGCCCATGAGCTCCTCATCGAAACCATCATTAAATTCTCTTACAAGGGACTCAGTCCCAGTTCCTTCCATAATTTCTCCATCTTCCAAATCCTTGGTGAAAACACGTTTTCGGATTATCTTCGGACAGGCATTCATTTTCTAAATTGTGGAGTTGTGCAATACAAAGTATAAAATTATAAATTAGGATAAGGCTGTAAGGCTTTTGTATTATTCAAATGTATCAATTTTTCAAGGAGTTATAAAAGTTTCTTGCGTACTATGTAAAAAATCCTTAAATGGTCAGAAGTATCACCCTACCAAATATCTCGTCAAACTATATATATATATATTTTCTTGATGATTACAGACTCTAGCCTTAAAAGAAACAACCAAGTCTAACTACACAAATTTCGGCTTCCCGAATTTAGCGTTTACTAGGATTTTTTCGGGTTTGTGGATATATTTACAAAGACTTACAGATCTTGGAAATACCAGTCTTACGCACACCTTTATCGACAAACTTGAAATAATTACTAAATGAATACTTTTCAGTTGTATTTACCTGGAGATGTGCTCAGTAGCTCTTCTAGAGTATAAATAAATATCAGGCAAGTCCATGACGAACAGATTCAGGGAAAGTTCCAATAATATTTTTTGGTTAAGTTAACACTAAACGCAGGGCTTACTTGTTTAAAACTAGAAAGCCCTGAAAAAATATATTTCATAGATAGAGATTTAAAGGTTAAATATTTTAACCCTTGAAGTTCGTCAAAACCCTAAGTTGGAGTCTATTTTAAAGCGGTTGAGTCCTCAAACTTGTATTATACCATATACAATAATAAATACATACTTTGACTACCATTAAGTATAAATGTCTTTTGGAAGGCAATGCATAGATGCCCATTACGATTTTGTTATATCAAAACTGTAGCAAAGTTGGTCTTTCCATGCCATAATTCATTTGTTGCTTAAGCTCGACTAGCCGTTCGTTTGCTTCTGTTTCAGTGCCATCAAAATCAGAGACATAAGCCCAGCCCGCACAAAATGAAAGCAGCAACAGTGGATGGAGGTGTGCCGCCGGAGCAGGAGAACAGGAGTCGAAACTGTGGCTGACCACAATTTCACGTTTGCCTAGCCGTGAACACGTTCAACATGAACGGCGATTAGTTGCATTTGTTTATGAGTATGGATTTCGGATTTGTCTCCGGCTGTGCCAGGTCGCTCCACAGACCACCATTTGCCACTACGTCCTAATAGTCGAGCCAGCGGTAACTTATTGCATCGTGGCGTGCGAGTGCCACCGAGTGCTCCGAATGGGGTGGCAGCCCTTCTGCACATCAGACAATTGGATGGTTCCAGTTGGGAATGTACTTCGAGAAGGAAATGTCAGAGGTGTACATTGGCAAAAAGAAAATATCCGTATAAAATATCGGACCAAATCTTTGTTTTGGTTTCGAAATAGTTCGTTTTGTAAAGATATATATTCTTAGGAAAAAAAACTGTACAATTTTAAACTTAAGAAATAACGTGTTGGTTTATAGCACAGAAAATCAGGATCTTAATCTAACTAAATAGTTGATTATTTAATTTGGAATACAATATATTTTAGCTTTTAAAAGATAACTTTCGTATACTTTTTAATCCTCGCTAAATTCAGAGAGTCCTTCAGCCAGTTTGGCGGCATTTAGTGCCATCTCTAGTTTCAGGTGTGGGGCTTTTTCGTTCTCGATATGGATGTGATTTCTTTTTGCCTTGCTAGTATATCCGCATTGTAAAGTAGACATTATGTTGATGTCCGGCTGAGATCCTGGTCAGCTCAGGTCCTGGTCCTTTGGGCTCAGCTCATATCCCACTTGGGACATCTGCCGACGGTGACGATAATATCCCTAAAATTATTTTCAGTCGGTCTTACATTGGTTGACCGTCCTGGACTTGGACTTTGTTTTATTGTTATTGTTTCGCTGCCTTTTCCATTGTTTGTGGTAACTTCGTGACTTCCCCTGGCCCCCCCTCCGACTGTGCCTCTGCCGCATCCAATCCCAGCCAGGACACATTAGTGGAAGATGGACATTTGTAGCTGTGGGTCACTGGCTAAAGTTATTACATGTTATATCTCGCTTTTTCCAAAAGCTGTGCCACTTGCAATTATACACTTACTCCGTAGCATTGTTTTCGGTGGGTCCGTGGGTTCCGTGGGGTTGAATCGGCCTGTGTGTGTGTGTGTGTGATTTTCGCATATTGGTGCTGCAAACTAATGGCTTCACTAACGATTGTAACCGTTGTCCTTAATGGCATCCTTTCGGGCATCACGCGCATCCCGTTTAGTCGATTTGTTTTCCCTGTCCCACATCCCCCATCTGCGGTCCATTGGTCCAGGGTTTAGTATCTATGATGGAATGAAGAGATAACTTTGCCGCCGACGCTCCCACCGTCTTTTCTTGGGTCAGTGCAGTTGGGTAATTAGAGGGCTGGAAAATGGGTTTACTACTTAGCAAAATAAATATTTTGCACAGGGAATAGAAATACAATTTTAATTTAAATTAAAGTTTAAATTTGAGCATTACCTAGTATTTCTAGTGATTGAGCTTTCACCAGAAGATCTCTTTGATTACTTTCAATCATGTAAATGGTTGGTATCAATAATATAATATTTAATGACAGTTGTTTTACATATATTACATGTATGCTATAACCAACTTTTATACACATAAGTTCGCAGAATTTTTTATCAACCCTTTTTTTTCTTACCGGCTTGTCCACACATCTTGACCAAGCTCGTTGCGGCTAAAATAAAAATCGTACAAATTTACTGTTAATAGAAAAAGGGATCGAGCAGATGAAGCAGGCACATTAGCCCCTTCCCCACCTCAGACCAGTGACGATTCCAGGGGTTTTGGGCGGCGGGGATGTTGACGATGCCTATCTGGTCACTGCAGGAACCCTGTGGGCAGTCGTAAACATCTCGAGTCATGCGATATCGAAAAATAATCTCACAACGGAAATGGCATATTTAAAAGGCCAAAGGATTGTTGAGATTTAACTTATAAAACCGTCGGGGCGAGTCCAATGCCCAGGAGGAGTTCCAGCATGTGATAGTGGCGAAATCTCATCTCCTGTCTCCCCTTTACGGCTTCCCCCACAGCGATGGGACTGTAGCGTCTTCGAGCACTTTTCGGGGATTTTTAGTGTTTATTGCCTTAGATTAGTTTGTTTATTGTAATCCTCGTTATAAATTAAGCAAAACTTGCGCTTAAAAACTCATTGTTAGCATGGGCCAGAAAGGGGTGTGCCCACCCCCTCAGCCGGGCAACGTGGATAGCATCTTGGGCCAAATTAATTTCCAGCATATTTTCCCGGAGGCGTCGGGCGAACTTAGTGCAGATAAATGCTGCAAATGGTTTACGACCACAGCCGATAAATGTTGCAGTTGAACTCGGGATTTCAGGAAAAGTTTCTGTGAAGAGAGACAATTTTTGTTGTTAATAATAAGGTACCGTCCTTATAATAATAATTAAAAACCTTACCTAAGTATACACTTTTATGTTAATTTATAATTTATGATAAAAAGGAAAGCATAACCTAAATTAATGTTAACTTTTTTATTTCTATATTAATTGTAAAAGAACAGTAAACATTTTAGGAAATATTATCATGTAATTTAAGCTGGTTGATACAATAAAAAACTAATAAAAGTATTTGAAGTCGCTATGGTTGGGTTGACGGAGACCGACATCTTCTATGTCACAAATAAATTATGGAGAAGATAAGAGGATTTTTCAGGTGTCACAAGTACATAGAATATGTAATATATCAATAAAAATATATGGTTAAGTTGTCTAGGATGGCAATAAATAGAGTTTGCTAAGATCTAAACGATATAGTGACTTAAGAATGCTCTTATCTATTAGACTGTATGATATACCACTAAGGTGAATATTTATTTCTTCACTGTTTTTCAACATTTTGTATTATTTTAGAAAGTCATAGGATCGATAGGGACATGTAGAGAAAAAGAAAATGTAAAACTGTGAATATAAAACTGGTCACACATACATATGTATATGGAGTTTTTTTAGTTATAGGAAACCACTAAAAAATATATTTAAAATACAATTTTACATACAATTTAGGGAATTGCGGAAATCCTAATGATCTGCTGCCTGGTGATGATGCCTTGGGGCAGAAGGAAAAAGGTATTTGGAGCTTTATTGAATCTGTACTTTGAAAAAGGTCTGGTTTCCGATACTTTCATACATAATTTCAGTTTATCTTTGTGCTGAAGAAATAATGAATTCTGCAATACATATTACACTAATATGCAAAAATAATTTTCTACAATTGCGTCGTATAAAAAATACGAAAACATGCAAACTGATTCTCTGCTTCTCTTAATCCAATCAAAATAGTATGCAAATTTCAGAAAAAGTCTGTCCTCACATGGCCCCTTACAAAATGAGGAGATTTTATCCATGTACATATATAAAAGTTTCCTTAAATATACAAATTTCCGGATCCGCAACCAACTCATATTTTGTAATATGCCGAAATCTATATATGAATAGACGCAGCTGCTGTGCTGTCCTCATTCAATTCGCTCCGGCTGGCAAAGATGAGTTTCCATATTGTTTTCAGCTGTGGCGGCAGTTCAATAAGGAAGAGGGAAACCTAATAATCCGAGACCCAACACAGGTGACAGAGTTTGAGGCTGGAAATGTATCCCAGCATAAGCAATTTCAGGTGATGTTTGCATAGCGCTAGCCGCTTTGCCGTGAAATGACAAAACTCCATTAAGAATTACGTTACGATTACGTTTCGTTTCCGCTTTTATTACAATTCCGATTCCTTTTTCGCTTTGTTTGGTATTCTGGCGGGGTGTTCCGTTTCCATTCGAGGACTGAGAGTTAGCGTGCTTCTAATTGCATTTTAAAATTGCGACACCATAAAATGTGCTTACCGTATAAATAATTATAACGGCATTTGTCGCAACATACACCGGGGCCCAACTGGAACTACTCCTCCATGGCCCAACCCCAACCCCAACCCCCTATCCGAATCCGGGTAAAGAGCCAAAGCCAGAGTTGCAATGATTTCGAGTGTCAGGGCGAGAGATGCAAACGGGGCCGGCGCTGAGGATGATATTGTTCCGAGGACACAGCCACGCCGTCAGTTGTTGGCGCATCTCCTGGATATTGCATAGCTACCGTACCACTCCCATCCGAATTTTCATTTGCCAGTCAGCTCCATTTCCATGTGGCACAATAACAACAACGACCACGACGAAGTCATGCGATTAACGTGAGCTGCATATTTTCAGCTAATTTTCTAATTAAAATGGTATTTATGCATTTTTCAGCTTCTAATATTAAACATTCAGCGCTAAGGAGATAGAAACCAGACGAGTGCCACATAACACCGCAAACACGGACCTAAAACTTGAAGGTGAGCAGTGATTGAAGAAGTTTTTGTCATTTCGAAAATTTATAACTGATAAATAAATCACTTTTCTGTTCGTTAAAAATTGTTTGTACCGCTGTACCACATTATGAAATTCAAAACATTTACTTAAGTAATGACTAATAAATAGTTTTTTTTTTTAATTAAAAAATACCAATATTGTCTATAAATTGAAAAGAAAAATTGATGAGCTATCACAAAAGATGATATTATAGAATCCTTTTACAAAAATAGAATTTTCCATAAAAATGCCTCTAAAATAGTTTTGTGCCTTATAGGAAAAATTCCTTTTTACTTAGCAAAGATACTTCTTCCAATTATATATTTTTTTAGCAACTTAAAACTACTCAATCGTCTCAACACCGACAAAACCGATTAAAATGCAAGCACTTAAAAAAGAATTGGTAGGCTTTTTACAAATAAAAACTTTTCTTATCTAGATTCCAGGAACCAAGCAGCTTAAGCTTAAAAATATAATTTTGGTTACAAATTAAAAGCTTATTTTATTTATTAAATTATTTGCAATATTAATGAGACAATATTTGATATAAGAATTTGTGAAAGCTCAAGGGGGTAATTTTGTTCGTCACCTAAGCGAATTTTCTGTCAGTTTTGTTACGTATATAAATTTATAAGTCAAGTCAGTTGTTTTTAATTTTCGTTGCCTCAAAATTCAACCTCCTGATATCGAAATGACTTCTTTGGTCCCAATCCTTTTGGCAAGCTTCGTACACTTGACGCTACATACCACGCTCTTCATCCAGCTAGACCCAGAAGTCTTTCGGAATACTCCCATTTTGGGCAGCCAGTTGTTCTATCTCGCAGTGTTGGATCTGCTTTTCCACTGCCAGGTGATACCAGGGCATTGGAATTCTTTGCCTTTGTGGGCCAAGGCCGTTTTGGAGTCTATAGCTGTAATTTTGATCAGCGAAATGGCCTTGGCAGTGGTATGGATCAGCATGGAAACGTATCTCATTGAGCTGATTACCGGGCTCACTGCTGCATCGGGACTCTCCAATGCATCCAGCCTCCTTTCTGAAAGACTTATCTTGGAAATCATCACCGTTATGCTTAGTGTTGCATTTACGGTGGTAGTGGCAGTGTTCACAAATCAACCGTCCAACGTGCAACAAATTGGTCGCAAGATTGGGAGTCTGTCAAGTTGCTTTGTTCACCAGCAATGATCAATATATTGAATTTAGTGGATCAGAGTAACAGGATTATGTCTTTATTTTGTAAGCTTGAAGCTAAAACTTTGTATATTTAAAATACCCTTATGCAGACTTAATAAATTATTACTGTAATGTTTTCCAGAATAAATTACCACTGTAAAAAGTTACATCACCAATCAGTGCCTTTTGTTTACATTATTATTTAAAATTAAATAAGCTTTAGGTGTGTGAAAGAAAAAAAACTCTTTTTTTAAATTTTACTCAAATTGTATATGAAATACATGGATGCTTAAGCTCTTACTATCAATGCCAGAGCTTGTTAAATGTTTCCTGTCAACCATCAATTCTCAATCAAATTCTCTCGTCGAGAGTTCGAGATCCTTATTTTTTCTGCTTTGATTATGACTCCACTAAGCTGCATACAGTACGAACAGTAATCAAATCGAAAATCTATTGTCGAGTGTGAAAGAGATTCCCTGTTACCAAAGCAATGTGGGTCAATCAAATTACATAATTCGTGGGTCCATATACCTAAATTTCTATGATTGACTTGTTTTCTAGCAACTTACCTTCCCGAATTCGAAGATTAGCCGCTTATCATTTCTTGGTTAAATACCACTTTTTATCCTTTAACTGTAATTATTTTACCGGCAAGTAAGCGAGGTTCCACCTGATTGTAAAATCAAGAGTGGAAATTAGTTTATTGCTTCCCATTAAGGTACCTACTTCAGCAAGAATTGAAATCGTTTTATATGTAAAGCCACTTTACGTGGTAATTTTATCACTCAAGAAAGCGGACACCTATTCAAACCAACTGGCTAGGCTTTGTTTGAACTATTTAGTAAATGGTTTATGTTTGCACAAAATCGGTCGAGCGCTTCTTCATTTATCACATTTTTTTGTAACATGTGAACTTAATACATAAATGAAGGACTATTTTGTTAATGGGGATTTTGTTGTCAAATTGAATTTTATTTCAGTGTTGTAAGGCAGACGAAGTTTTGTTAAGTTAGAAGTTGGGGGAATCAAAACTTGTTTTAAAAAATTAATCGGGATTGAAAGTTTCCACTCCCGATATCCAGCTTTTAAAGCATGGAATTCTTCACGGATCGCCTTTGCGGTATAAATTGCTCGGCATATTGAGTCGGCATTTAGTTGCAGCCTAGCGTCGCACAGTAGCGCCTTTTCTCATTTAGCGTTGCAAAAATCATATCTTTTGAACCAAATAAGGTAATCGAATAATTTAAACGGCATTGGACAGGTAATTCTTGTCAAATGTATATATGTACTGCATAAAGTACCACGCCCACAAATACGCCTTTTTAAAGGGGATCAAAGTGAAAAAATAATTTTTTTTCAATGAAAACGATTTTTAAAAAATATATTTTTTTTAATTTTTTATGTTTATTTTTATGTATTTCCTCAAATAAAAATAATTTGAAAACTGGAAAAAAAAATTTTTTTATTTCAAAGTGTAACCGCCACGCGCTGTAGTTAGTATATTTCTTGGAATGTATGAAATTGTGTCGGTATTTTGGTATATTTCACCATGAGTAGCTTTGGTTTATGTCGTTGCATTTTTGCAGACGCAGCTCGACGCAGCCGATGAAAGTTAATTCTGGTCCAGGAAAGATCCACGTAACTTGTAGACATAGTGTAGTCGGTGGCTTTCATCGGCTTCAGAAGTTATAGACTACTTTATGCAGAAAAAGGTGAAAAAATGGACACCTGGCAGGTAGCGATTTACCTGTACAAGCCCTAACCAAAGTGCCGTTTTTGTTGGGTTAATTAACAGTTTATGAATGTATCTATAATTTAAAGTAAAAACCATGACCATTGGTTTTATGGTTTTTGTGTTATATTACCTGAAAGTCGACCATTTTACCTACTTTTTTTGGTATGATGCAAAAAACAAAAGAAAGCTCAACTTTGAATGCTCATATCTTCTACAAAAAAAAATCTTCAAATAGATTTTATTGCAGATTCTGAATCCTTGGGAAATTTTCTGTCGAATAAGTATGATTAACATGCGAACATGACTTTTTCGATTTTTGCAACGCTAATTGTTCGAGAGGCGTCGTCAAAGTGGGCGCCTCGAGTTGTTCCTAATAAACTCTTGTTGGGCAAGGTACACATTCACCAATGAGTACAATAAGTACTTCTCCCCAATTCGCTTGATTAGCGCTGCTGATTAATAATTAACTACAAACTTCATTGGCTCTCCAGATCTCGGCTCAGTCAAGTCAGCCTCCTTCTGTTTAAGCCAATATTTCCGCTTCTATCCGGTTGTAGTTTGTTCCACTGCTCTTCCCTTTTGGGCTTCACGTTCTACCAAGACCTCTTTTACGTTTCCCAATACTTAAACTGATTCATTGGAATGCCAGACTTCTTTCTTGTCCAAATTATTCCTCCATATTTCTTGTTTTAGAAATGAAAGCAAAGCTTCTAAAAGCTTTTTGCGCTGTTGCTACAGATTGATAAATATCGATACACTATGGTTTTTTCGTGTTTTCAATATTTTTTTTAGTATTTGACTTTTAATTTTAAAACACCTAATATTTAAGTTTAACATGTTTAACGATACAATGTTATATTTATGGATTTGGTTTAAACATAGGTTTAGTTTTACAAAGTCCTTTCTTTTAGTTTTTCACGAGCTCTTGCACAACTTCCTCCTTTTTCTCTCGACTCTCTTGTGATGACAAAAGATGACTTCTCTTTTCTCAATTCTCCACATTTTAATTAATGAGAAACTAACCCCGTTGGTCCGAATCCACACGTTTTCGAAAAAATCAAATTTGTCTAGTACTGTACCATATGTGTTCAGTCGTGTTGAGCTGGTTGATATTTGGAGCAACAACAATCGCTCAGGAGACGGCGTACAACAACAGATATTGAGAGTGATCGCACAAAAACATTTAGATAACGAAACCATAACGTCGATAAATGAAATAGTGAAGGGCTTTGCCAATTATTTAAATAAATGTAATTCAACTGTATAAAGATTTAGGGGAAAGCGCGCACAATGGCTTGGGAAATGCTTATTCATAGAAATCACTGGTCGTCCAAAATGTAATTATGAAAGTGCTGGTCCTCGTCTGAAAAGAAAATTAGCCGCGGAACTTTCGGAGGATAATAACAACTTATCTCCCTTACTCATACAAGCTGCCACAGTTTCAGCTAAAAAAAATCTAACAAACAGGATTTGGCTGTTGTTTTAAAATCAGCTGCGAGTTGTGAGAGCATTAATGGAATACAAAAAGAAGCTTTTTGCGGATGAGCCCAAACAAATTTCAGCCGACAACGAAGCAAATGTGGTTAAAGCTGTGTACCTAGCTTTTGGGCGAAAAAAGCATATGCCGCGTTTTGCCCAAACACTAAATCTAATTGCACGAGCTGTCATGGAATAAATTCAGTTATTGTCAAGGTGAAGGAAATAGTAACATTTTTCAAAATTTTACGAAAACATACAGACAAAATGTTAATAAATACACACAAGAGATGGAACAGCACGTTTCACATGTCAAGCGTTTTTTTGAGCTTAAAAATGTTGTAAATGATATTCTTTTAAGTGTGTGCAACTAATTATCTTGACCGGAAATAAGTTGCAATTCGCAGCATTTTACTATGAATTTCTCAATTCCTCGTCGAAGTATTCACGCATAAATGTATGCGGAAACCTTTCAATTTATATTTTGACCCTATAATTCTTACAAATTTTGTAATTATTACCAAAACAAATTATTTAAAGTAATTTTACAGCGCAAGAACCTTGCCACTGAAAACAAATTATTTTTCCTAATTTTCTAATATTTTTTTTCAGTTCCAAAACGTGCAAAACGAAGTAAAAATAAACTTTGAGTTTCGACCTCTTTACTCTTTTCAATTACAACTTTCTTCTATTATCTAGTATATTTTATGTAGAATGAAGCAATGAAGTAAGCTAACGCATTATTGTAATGCGTTAAGGGGGTCTTCTCATTCAAAAGCCGTTTTTTGGACCCTTTTTAATAAAATTCTTATTTGAAAACGCAAAGAATAATTGAAAACTTTTTTTATTTATTGTATTCAAAAATGTTCAAAGTAACTAAAAAAGTTATTCTTTCCTCGATACGAGGGTTGTTCAAAGAGTAATGAGACTTCAAACTTGGTGGTCGAAAAAAAAAGGTGTCGTCCTGGCGGCCACGATTCCGGGTCTCCAGAGCGTCCGAAATGAAAAATAAAAACGGGGTTATAATCAGAATAGATGTCATTTTCGGGTGACGAAACAGATTTTTTTTAAAATTTTTTTAAACAAAATGGCGGCTATTCAAAAAAAATTTCGATTTCGGGGTTTTTTTTTGTAGTTTAGTGTAAAAAAAAAAATATTTAAAAAAATTTAAAAAAAAATCTGTTCCGTCACCCGAAAATGGTGACAATTCTGCGTCGATTCCACTTTGTTTCATGAAAATCGGTTCAGTTGAACTGGAGATATCATGGCCGCCAGTTCGAAAAACGTGGTTTCGAGATAAACGCGTTTGAAGTTTGAAAAAAGCTCATTTTGCATAGATCTTGCTTTACAAAAAAGGCCGTATCTTCTAAAGTATTTCGAATTTCTAAAAATCCTTTTGGGGACATATACACACCATCCCAAGCTATAAATAAATGCAAAAAAAAAAAAAAATCGAAAAAAAAAAGTTGCCCAATGAGAAGACTCCCTTAAAGTGCCATACAGTCATCTTTACTGGTTCCACTTGTTTAAAACTCTATAGCGTTGTGAAATCTTTAATGAAATCTTTCATTAATGCGCTAGTATCATGTTTACACTATAATGATACTAGCTCATTAATTAGAGATTTCACAGCGCAGGCAAATTTTAGCTTTGCTCCGCACGGGGCTTTAGCGCAAACTTCCTTTAACGAAAGCAAAAAATAAAATAAAATAAAATGACGCGCATACGCACAAAAATATAGTAATAAGAACTAGAATAAAACATAGGAACAATTTGCGACATAGAAAATGATGAGAAAGATTTGAATTGAGTACGCGCACGCGCAACAGATTACGAGCAGACGGTCACACTGGACCGAACGGAAGCTGGTCACACTAGTACGGGCGAAACTAGCATAGGCGACGGGCACACTACGGCGGGCACACCACGCCAGGCCC